CAGAACTAGCAGCCTTGTCTTCAGGATGTAGAACTCGAAGGCCAAGACAGTTCCTTCCTCAGCCACAGTCGCGAGATCAAGAAGTCAGTAGTGCGCCCAATGCCACATCAACATATTTTACTCACCGGCCGAACTCGACCGACGAGTTGGCACACCCTGGATCAACCAAAAGACATAGTTAGCTTATTAATTACTCGGCCGGCGCGCCACGTAGGCTAGGTAGCTTTTAAGGTCAACAGTCTTACATGTGGCATCAAAGCCACACAACAAGCTTAGAGCCCCATTCAAATGGAGTACTAACTTTAAAAGCTGCTAAATGACGGAAAAATAAAATACATTGGAGTGGAATACTAGGGTCGTGCCTTTCATCACATTATGTCTGTGTAAATGTACTCTCTCTGGACTTAGGAAATCGATAATGAGATAATCCCATTTTGCAGGTTCTTATTTTTCACCTGAATTATGCATAGTCAAAATTGTAGAACTAGGTTTTGGTTTCAGAAAACCATATATATTGCTTGATACAATTTGCATCTAAATGGTTTGATTTAATTATTTTTATATATGATTAATATCAAGATTGGCTTGGGTGCATTGTTGTTGCTGCTCTACATTGTTTAGGGTTTCCTTGTTTTCAAATCCCATTTAAATAATACTTTTCATTAGTTTTTCTTTATAAAAAAAAAAGAAGCTGTTTTGTACATGTAAAATAAATAAATAATAAATTTTGATTATGCTGTTTGGGTCTTTACCCTCTCCGCAATTTTCAGTGAGAATCACTCGCCGTCATGAGTAATAAATTGGGTATGGTTTATAACTGTTTTCCAATACAATTTTTTCTACGGTTTAATACGGAATTTTGTTATGAGTTTGTGAGGTTTTTGTTCTTGCTTCGGCTCATGTTTTCTATGTATACATGGATCCTCTCAAGTTCTTCTATGATTAAATATGTTTTTTTATGAGTTTCTGGGATTTCATGCTTCCGCTCACTCTTATTCTTAATATCAATAATTCTACTGATATTCTATTGTAGGGAAGAATTGCATCAGACATGTTGCGATTTTCTAATTATATTAGCTTATGATTAAGAAAATTTATTTGAAAGGACCTTTTTATCGTGGTTCAGTGTACTCAACAACCTTTTGAGCACTTATGTGTTTGTCTTAGTGTCTAACACTAATGACTTGAGACAAGTCATACTCTCAATTGAGTCGACATAACACATACTAGCCTTAGTGGACTGTCAATACCCGATTGACTTGGCTATGAACGTTTTAGGAATGAACATAAGAGAAAGGTTTAATTGATCTAACTTACTAAGATTACTTCACTTTTAGGTTGATTATATTCCTTGGATTCTGTTATTGCTTAAACACATAATACATTTAATAGTGATTAACAATAAACAATGCCCTTTCATTAAACTAAATAAGAGTTCAACAAAAATAAGTACTTCAAAAGCTATTACATCAAATAAGTAGCTTTAAGGGCATACTTCTAACAAAAACACTTTTTTTTTTTTTAATTTATAGCAAATCACAGCTTTTTCACCCCTTTTCTTTTCTTTTCTTTAACTGAATAAAAATAAGAAGAAGAATAATAATTACAATATTTGGCCCTAACAATATTTGGATTCTGTCAATCTATAGTGGCTTAAAAGCTCAAAAGGGTTATATAAATCACTAGATTAACATATCAAAGGATTAATTTTTGCATCTGTCACAACTCAAGAGTTGACTTGCTTGACATATTAATAGGACTCCATGCAAAAACTCTTAGTAATTGCATTCAGTGAATTCAATACCTATTGAGGATCTACACACTTGTCTACTGGTTTCCGCTAATGGCTCTTGAGACTAGCCATGCATATATCTTTTATATGTAAACATAGTGTGTATCAATCTTCCTGACCCCAAACGATCTGTAATAGGTTTTAGGACAAACATGTAATTAAGAGAGGGTCTCATTAACTTAACCCTTTAAGCTACTTCATTTCAGGAAAGGATTATCCGTATAATCGCATTCCTATGTATGCAAACGAGGTGAGAATTTAATGTTTACCCAAGGATCCACTAAGTTGAGACCATGGATGGTCCAACAGTTTTAGTGGTCTTTCCCATATGATTAAATTATGGATTAATCATTGTATCACTTAAAGAGTTATCAAGCCTTTGATTGTTTTTAGGGCATACCCTCCAACAAAAGTAATGTGATTAAACGTGTATGTGTATTGTTCATTGGAGTTTAATTTATAAAATGTGTAATTGAATGAATCATTGAGAAGTGTACAGAATAAGAAAATATTTTTGAAAAATATGTGAGTATGTGTATAATATGTTAAATTGAAGTGAAGTAACTCACTAGATTTTAAGTGACACACCTCGACCCGGAATGTCCATTAGGACTCCGAATCGAGCTGTGTTGGTTGACACCTGGAAGGTGACGATGCCGTAAAGTGTAGTGATGTGGAAAATGTGAATAAATTTAAAACTAAAAGTGCCTAAATACAAGAGTGCGCTGTGAGTGGGAATGAACCCATTTCACACGCGATGTCAGAGTATAAGTAAAGTACACTAAGATAGATTAAGGATTATACCCTCAGAGGTAGCCACCTACACTGAGATTTGCCAAGAATCCTCGTCGATAAGAAAGCTCAGCTACTAAAACCTGGAAGGGTGAAAAACAAGGTTGAGTGGGCCTGAAAATAAAGTTTTACAAAAACTTTTCTGAAAACATTGTAACCCCTCGCCGTAAAACAAGTATAGTTTTCTGAAAATCATACTAAGTATAAGTATGAAATCAAATGCATGTTGACAATAAATCCAAAAATATGCCACAATAAAATATCTCAACAGCAATATGAATAAAATCATGTGCTCAACAATCTATATTAGCATGTAGTCAGAGTCACCTAATGTGACATGTACGACTACACCTATTGCTCATCCATCTATGCTAACACACGAGTTGGAGTCACCTAATGTGACTTGTATACAGGACTAGGTATTTCACAACAGTATGAATATGAGAGAACTATATGAATATGAGCATGCCATAATGATGTAATAATTCCAATCAACATAATAAACTTACCTGAACTTACCTACGCATCCCGTAGGATCATCTTGGTATTTCACAACAGTGCAACATTTCTCATAACATAATTTAATCATGGCATGAAGTGCATGAATCAATTCAAAAGCATTTGTGGAAACTATCAATCATATATATATATATATATATACACACACACTATAAAAAGAAAAAGACCCACTCACTTGAGGTCTGCGCTACAACTCCTTAGCACGAATATCGAGGCGTCACGAACGATCGGCACCTAGAACAATTATCAAATCACGTCTCAGAATTCTTATCGATAGAACACCTAGAACAATTATGCTTCTGAAACATCATACTAAATATTACATATGTCTGATTCATGATCCGTAAGTTCCTATGGTCCTTAAATATTACGTACTATAATGTATTAAAGTTTTGTGACAATCCAACGGTCAGATTGTCGATTGCTATAATATTCGAGTGGCGGACCTCAACGAAATTATACTCAAACAATGGAATTCCATCACTCATGTGTCAAATATGGAATCAAGCATCCAAATTAACCTAGGATGGGCAGGTTAGGTCTCGACCCACGCATCGTCACACGCAGTGGTTTCCGGCGAACGGAAGCCAACTTTTTCGACTAACTCCAAATTCTACCAAAATTTACAGGACGATAGAGCTTAACAAGAAGAACATGTTTTATACCTGCCATGAAGTCCAAAAGTGGACAAAAGAGGGTTAATTTCGCCGATAAACCCGGCGGGTGTCTAAAGCTTCACGGCGTCGATTCATCACCTACGGTGATCCAACGGGGTCAAGGCTGGTCGGGATTTACTTCTGGGATGATGGGCTACAAAACCCAAGTGGTGGTGTCAACCATCACTTTACCGATTCACCGAAAAAATAAAAAGGGTGGTAGGAGCACCATTGGTTTTCATTGGGTTTTGTGGCTTCGCACCACCACGTACAAAGGTTAACCAAGGTGGTTCTTGGTTGGGTTTTGTAGAGGGGAGTGAGAGCTTCATGATGGTGGTGATGGCGTCGAAAAATTCCACCGGAGTCGGCTAGAATCAGCGACCAAAAATGGGAGGTCGCAGGAATGGGTAAACGGGAAGAAGAGGGGTACAATCTCTCTCTTCTCTTGATTGGCTCTCTCTCTCTCTCTCTCCCTCTATTTTCTGATTGGTTCTTCCCCCTTTAATTGATTGGTTACAATTCCCACATGGTGGGAGTTTAATTAGTTTATAAACTAAAATTTGAGTAAACAATTTCAAACGTTCGTAACTATACTGTTATAATCTGGACTCGCAAACGGTTTTCGCCTATGCGTTCGTAGCTTCAAGATCTATTCGGAAACATTAATTGTGACTTCGAATGGTCAACGAAAGTCAAACATTCTCGCCTTTAAGGGCATTTTCGTAAAATCACTATTTTAAAATTTATAAAACTTAAAATTAGGGACGGATTGTCACATTAAGTATGGTAAATTGAAAAAAAAAATTCAAGGTTGAAGGAATCATGTAGTAGTTATAAGAAATGAATATCACACTACTTTGTAAAAAAGATTTATACTAAATTGGTGTAGAACTCGTTATGAACGAGATTCGAACCATAACTTTTCACTTACAAATTAAATTTTGTGAAAATTTAAAAGTATAAATTTATTCACTGACTGACTTATCTTCTACCTTTAAGTTGACCATTATTTGAATCTAATGAATTTATCTCAGCAATGCTAATCTTAAATGGAAAACTAATGAAAATGGTTTGAAAACTTTGAGTTTTAACGATAAGGACAAAATAAAGGGTAAAGTGAATAGTACCATGATTGAGTTTTTAGTGTAAAAATGTGGTTTTTTGTTAAAGTGAGCAGTACCGAAACTTTTCATTAAAGTTGCCAATCTTAAAAGGAAAACGTGTTTTAATATATTTAGAAGAACAATCATCAAGAATCCATATTAATCATGAATAGATAGTAGATACAACCTTTGGTAGCGTACAACTGGGATTCGTAATACACTCAAATTTGTAAATATCCACTTACCATTATGTTTTTCTTATTTTGTTTTCCCATTTACTACTATTAATGCTCATAATTTAATAAGGTAAGACGAGGCATATCTTTAGTGACAAATAAGTGAAGGTAATTTCAAGGAACATAACCACCATGACCACTACCTTCACCAACCCCACCACCTCCTCCATATGCACCTCCGTGCACTCCACCGTAGCCGCTGCCGCCACCCAAACCTCCACCACCACCACCTGCATAGCTACCACCACCAACTCCAGCCCCAGCTCCTCCACCGCTCCCATATCCTCTTCCACTTGCTCCTCCAACAGCATAACCTCCTCCAGCACCACCACCATGCCCATTGCCACCTCCATATCCTCCATTATGTTCTCCACCAGCACCATAACCCCCACTAGCACCACCACCTTCTCCTCCTCCATAGCCACTACCATGCCCTCCGGAAAATCCGGACCCTCCGCCACCACCGGTACCTCCTCCTCCACCACCAGCAGCATGTTCTCCACCAGCACCGTAGCCAAACCGACCTCCTTCACCACCCCCACTTCCATATCCTCCTGTGCCCCCAGCACCATGAGCTCCTCCACCACCACTTCCTCCACCGCCGCCGCCACCTTGTCCACTAGCACCTCCATAGGCAAAACCACCACCTTCTCCACCACCACTACCACCTCCATGTCCAGCAGCACCATGCTCTCCTACAGCTCCATAACCAACACCACTTCCTGCACCTCCTCCGCCACCATAACCTCTAGCACTAGCGCTGCCATACCCTGATCCAGCATTGCCCCCAATGCCATGGCCTGCGCCATAGCCTACAACAGGCAGATGGACAGGCCCCTCATAATTTAGGAGTGTTCTAGCTGCAGAACATATCTCCATAACCAATAATACAAAGAAAACAAAAGTATGACCATTTTGAGTGGTCATTAGAATAATGCAGTTAAATGCACAACAATGGAGTACATTGCAAGAGAAGAGTGGGCAGGTATATATAGGAATGGAGAGGCTTTTATAGCGCGTCTCTGCTGAGCACAAGGTGGTTGAAGCACATGCAGATCGAATATACACTTAATACACTAGTGTGATTTTGCTGTCTCCCATGTACATTGATATGGTCACTCAATCAAGCATTTTTGTTAAGCTAAAGGTTGTATAGGGACCTAATTTCCTTATCTAGCTACCTTCAAAAGAAAATTTCCTTATTTAGCTATTATATATGTTCAGCTAATTTATTGAAACCCTTTTTACACCACTGTACCTGCTAAAACTGATCAAATACGACATGAAGTTGGCTATAAGTATCAACATATTACTTGTGTGTTATTTATAAAGCGATGTTTGATTCCAAAAAAATATATGAAATTTAAGTGCGCCCGTGTATTCAACTACTTGATTTCTAATGTTGTTTAGGGAAGAACATAATTAGCTGAACTGAATCAAGCTAGGTTAAGAACTAAGAAACAGCTTAACAATCATAGTTAACGAAATCTGATGTCGGACAAATGCTAACAAGGTTTACCGATCGAAAGCGCATTTAGATTTACTTTTTAGCACGGTGACCCTATATTGTTTAAAGAAAGATACATCGATCGGTAGAACTTGTGATCTTTCCAGAAGTACAGAAATCCGAAATCTACCACCTTCAAAAGTTCCTGCCATATCCATCCTCCCTTCTCACATCTACTCATCTCGTTTGGTTTGGAGAAATTCTTTACCACTGTTGGACCAAGCAGCGAATTACGTGATGCTGATGGGCCATGTAGTATAAGCATTTAGATGTGGCGTATGTGGAGCCAAAAATAATTTCAAAAATTCTAGAAACAATACATGAATTTCTCCGCGAAGAAGGCAAGAATGCCATCATTAGATGGGCTCCCACAATATTTCCACACACAATCTGGTATCCTTGGAAGCTCAAGCAGACTATGACACCACCAAACTTCCCTGCTCGTGACAAGGAAGAAAAGTCAAAGGTATTAAAGATATGATTAATTGTCAAATCCTATCTTTAATACATTCCTAATTGAAACAAGTAAGGAATCATCATCACATTAAAGATAGGATGGTTCCTTAGAGGAAACCAAGGAAATCCCGGTCCTGCTGCTTGTGGAGGAGTTTTCAGGAATTGCCATGGTCATTTTCTTGGTGGATTATGTCAATGGATTGGTCATCGGAACTCTTTTTTGCAGAATTATCTGCAATTATTATTTGTGTAGAGTTTGCATATCAGCTGGGTTGACATTGTCTTTGGTTGGAAAGTGACAGTTCTAGTGTTATTTCTGCTCATCAATCGTCTAATTTTGATCCTCCTTGGCCTCTCCGTACGCAATGATCTATTTGTTTGGACCGCTTTCGGAAAATGACTTTCTATGCATCTCACATATATAGGGAAGGAAATTTTGTTGTGAACAATTTCGCTAACATGGGCTTGTATTCTCCAACTTTAACTTGGCATGATTCTCCTCCATTGGTGACTCGTGCTACATTGTTTTTGGACTATGTTGGCTTGCATGGCTATCGCTTCTCAAACTAATGTGCATCTTGGCATCCAGGTTTGTCTCACTTTCTTGTTTTTTTTCCTAACTTTTTGGTGTTGCTCAACTTGTTTTGCAGGTTTAGACCTCTAGGTTTGGTTTACGAGGGGTTAGGTTTCATGTCCCCCCCTCCCCCTCTTTTCTTTGTATCTTTCTTGTTTTCAGTTTCTAGAGGGGTAAGGTTTATGTCCCCCATGACTAGGTGTAACTTATTTTTTTGTTATCAATAAAATTTTTCTCGTACCATTGAGGTTTCCCAAAAAAAAAAATCAAGGATACTTCCAAGAATATCTCAAGATATTATATCATAATTAATATCTTTGAATTATTCTATTTTCATCAATCTTACGGATGACATACCTTGGCTAATGGAAAGCCGCCATGTGCAAGGCAAACCGTGCCCCCATGGCGTTCACCTCCCTAAATACTCCTCTACACCAATTTCTGGTAGGATTTTGCTACGCATACAAGCCTAAATTCTCTCTCTCTTGAGAGAAACTGACTTAGGCATTCAAGATCCATTGGCCAACCCCCTCTTACCTTGTGCACACGCTTGTGGCTTTGACCTTGATCAAGTGTTATTCATTTTGTAAGTGCAACTTCGTTAGGTTTGGATACGGCAAAAATTTGCTATTACAACTTATACGGTGCTAACAACTTGTTTGTAGATGGCGGGCAATGATGTAAACAATGCCCTAAGTAGCAGGTAAAGTTATACATGCGTACAATGCATGGTGGTGAGCAAGTGCAGCACAGCAATGAGATCGAAGATATCGTTTACCTTATCTGAGTTAGCTAGCTGAGCTCGATCCAAATGACTCAAAAGCTGTGCCGCATTCTTTTGTTTTTGTTACTAGCTTAATTAGCTTAGATAGTGTAGGTACCTAAATCTCACTTTGCTTGGCTAGTGGAGCCTTTATATATTCTTCACGCTTGTGGCTTATTATTACATTGGTAATTGGTTACAACCTTCTTTGCCCTACATCATTCTGAGGCTTGAAATTTTTTCAGATATAGAAATATGAGCGGTGTTCAAATCCTAACCAGTTAGTAATTTGAAACGGCGCTAAATACTCGTTTGAGCCTTCTCCACAATATAATCTAATGATTGGAATTGTTTAGTTTTTAAATCATCATTCATAGATCGTTCTTGTAAAAAATCACTCAAACTTGAAACCGTTTAGCCTTTTAATTGTTATTGTGAACATTTCATTGTTCATCCACAACATTATATTCGTTCATTTTTCAAGTCACAATTTAATAACTAAACAGCTTCCGATTATTCTGAATTTTTGCAAATTTGATATTTCATTCTCAATGCTCACTCCCCGCTGCACAAAGGCATCGGATGGATTATTAGTAATCGTAAGAATTTTTTTTTTTTTCCTTTTTCTTTTTCTTCTAGGCTCATAAGTCCCCTTTTCTTCTTTGCTTGATGGACATCAAAGGAAAAATATAGTGGTTCTTGGATGAAAGACAAATTGCAGGCGTTTCTGCTTCTAAATATTCTCTACAAAATTTTTGCTATCGCCTTGCCACTAATTTGTGTTGAATATTGTTTGGAATCCTAAACACTTCCCAGCAAAGTCTGCTACATGGCTTATCACCTGAACTTATACAGCTGAACTTATACATTAAGAACTTCAAAGAAAAATTTAAGAGTTATAGGACCTTGATTTTCAAAATTCATGATTTGTCATCTCACTCTAACGCTGTAAAGTTTACATAAAAAATAACTTGTAACATTGCACATGACTCATTTCACAGGAAAGTTTCCATGACCTCACCTCTCCTCGTACCCACCACCGCCAATGTAGACTAGCTTGCCTATTGTCCCACTGCCACTTCCACGACCTTCTCTACCCACCCAATCCGTGCATATAACCACATACCCACCTCGGCACAACCCACAGGAAACCCACCATGCCTAAACCGACCTCCCTTAGCCACAACCTACCCCCATTGCATCTCATGATTTTGCAACCATTAATACGCAGGAAATCAATTTCAAGGAAAGAATAAAGTTTAAATCAAACAAACTTAACTGTATAAAATGATAAGCATTACGGGGAGGTGTATCAATTTGTTTTCTCGCCTGAATTTGTGAAAGTGTCCTGAAAATGGGTTATCTGCGACACACATGCTATTTTTTTAATCGAAAACTTGACAGTTGTCACGGTGAGGTGACAAACCATGGATGATATCTTTCGTAAAATTCACTTCAAGATGCGAAAATGAAATTGATGTATAAGTTTGATGTATCGAAATTTATCCTTTTGCATTTGGTAGGTGTTGTAAAGGGTGAAAATGTGACATAACTGGGACTGAAGAACCTCATGCTGGCAAGGCCTTCTTCAACTGTGGGGAAAACTGCACCTGGTGTAATGTATATCAATCAACATACGAATAAACTATTCGAAGTTGCATCAACTATCACGATGATCGAGTGTGCATAGCAACAAATGCCTTATCCTTTTGACAGACATGGAGATGGGACAGTGACTAAGGGCGCCGTGCAGCAGGAGGTAGACAAATTTGGTGCAAGCGAAGCACACTTCAAGTGCGGCGAAGGCTAGAAATGTGTTGAAGGGCATGATGCCCGAGCTTTGAATGTGTTGATAGTTGTAGATAGTGACGGATAGCTGAAGAGCATCAAGAAAGTGCATATGCAAACAGTAAACTATCAGTTACTATAGTTGATATTAACGGTCTTGAAACGCAAGTTCGATTTTGCTGTGTACAAATTTAAGAGTTAAAAGGAGAATAAGAATATAAAGACTTGTAGAAAGTGGGGAAGAAAATCAGAAGATATAAAACAATAAGTTCATATTTGAGTCTTCAGTACTCTGAAAAGATTCCCGTGATTATTCCAGTCACAAAAAACCAGAAAAGGCATGCAGGATATTCAATAGGCTCCAAGGACACGAAGCACAACTTACAATTTACCGGCAATTACTTCTGCAGTCTCAGCATTCCTCAGTACAACTCTCGTGGGGACGGGAGGAATCTTAAATCTCAGGCGACAGGCCAGGCTTGACCTCTAATGAAAATGCAGATTGATAAACGTTTTAACACATTGCTATAAATGACTTGAGACGTGGAATCCTCATGGACTTGTGATTATACACGGTTTAAGGCTGCCTTCATTTGCTTGTTAAAGATGGGGACTGCAAGTGACCTAATTTCCATGGTTTGAGATTTGGTTCAAAGTTCAGATTGGTAATTACCTATCTTCCAAATATAATGATTCCTTTTTTTTCTTTTTCACCGGTATAGTAATAGCACATTAGACAAATCATACCAAGGAAAATCGCTGCTTGAAGAATGTGTTGAAATATTTTAGATCGATGGGCGGAGGGCCCCACTCTAAAGACACCGATACTGTCCCTAACTTTACCACCTGTCAAATCCGTCAGGTGTGAGATTTTACCACAAAATGTCTCGGTATTAGTTAGAGTAAAGTAATTATATATAAAGTCACCCTTGTTGACTTCACCCACCAACATAGGATTGCCAACATAATGTACGGCTGACAGTACTCATGACTCATGAGTGAGTCGCTCAGAATATATAATATTATATTGTTAGAATGTATGCCTGGAATGGAGGTGGTTTGTCTGCCCTCTCATTTACATACTCTTCTCACCTCCTACTGTTTTGTGTGGTCACGGTTAAGCCACGTCAACATTTTATATTCTTATTACTTTTTATTTTATTATTTTTATAAAAAAATCAATATAAAATGTTGATGTTGCTTAACCGTGACCATACAAACAGAAGGAGATGAAAAAAGTATGGAAATGAGAGCGCAGACAATCTACCTCCGCCTGGAATGCACTTGTAGTGCTTTTGGACATTCTAAAGTCACTTCCAAACATGACTGGCTAATATATGTCTCCGGTGTTTTTTAATGTGTCAAATGTATATTTCGGAGCCTTAAAATATTTAATAAGATTGGTTTGCTCTAATTTATTTTGAGAAAACTAAATTTTAGATACAATGCATATCTTTCAAAGGAATCATATGGCTTAACAGCCATGGTATAAAATATCGATGATATCGGAAATATCAGTAGTAAAAAAACATGGAAATTTCGATGGAAATATCGGGATATTATCGACATCGATAAAAATTGAATAAAAACCACGAAAATTGTAAGAAAAACTTGGAATTTTTTTTTTAAACTTTGGAGAATGTTTATTTAGTCAATTATATATTAGTTTATCAAAAAAATTAGAAGGAAATGCATTACATGATGGATTTAACTGATTTAAGTTGATTATACAGCAAGCTGGCAGACACTATGAGTGTAGAAAATATGTAGTAATTAATGAAAAAAATATTAAACACACCATAATCATTTATATATAATGATTTATTACAATATTTTACAGTTTATACATTGCATGGTAAGATACATTAGTGATTTAGTACCACATAAAGTTCTTATGAGGTTCAAATTTTTCACTATCTTCATCATCTCTATGTGTAGAGTAAGTTTATTGTGAAGAGTATTCATCAAATGATAAATCCCCAAAATAGTTTTGCATGTAATTGTTAACATGCCACTCACATAAATATAAATATTTTAGCATTATCACTAAAACATAAGTGATATATCGTGGTTAAGGTGTTGGAGGAGTAAAATGGGAGAGGTTCAAATCCCCTCGAAGCTATTTTGTTGTGAATAATGTTTGGCTACCTAAAAATGAGTAGGAATTCTTACTCAAAACTCTTCATGTTCGAATTACAGAGGTTTTGTGCTTATAATCAGAATCGTTCATATGATAAATCACTTTGTAAATATCATTTATGCAAAAAATGAATTAAAACTAAAGTAGATTAGTCAATTTATTGTAGCAAATACATAGACAATTCGTAATGCTTTTACTAATTTCGTTCATCTGTTTCTACATAGTTCGGTGACTAAACGACTTTAGTCTTAATTGATTTTTGCACCGACGATCTTTATATAATGATTTTATAATTAAAAGGTTATGATCATAAACACTAAGTTTTATGGATTGGCAACGAACTGTTTTGAGTAGGAACTCCTCCTCATTATTTGAGTAGCCAAGTATTATTTTGTTGTTGTGCCCCTATTAGAATAAATTTCTAACTCTGCCACTACATATATACACACACACACACATATATATCATCATCATCATCTTATATGATGATATGGCTAAGATTAATATAAACTCATCTCAATTCAATTTAAGAAGTAAAAAATGTACAACATGACAAGATGCAACTCAAATAACAATGGGTATCTCTTCTCTTGCTTGCTAAACGTGACATCACCAATAGGAGAAATTTTTAGTTGTAAGGAGAACACGTACATCATAATGTTTTTATATAAGTAGTAAAAAATTTTAAATTTTAAGTTATTAATCTTCTAATATACATAACCCACTATTTATATAGTAACACGCGAAATACCAACTCATGTGACGATCACATTGAAAAATCTATCAGCCAATAGCCAATAACACGCATGCCAATAGCAAATTACTCATAACAATTGAACTTCAATTATATTTAATCAAATTCATGCAGAAAAGCAAGATAAAGTGACCTAATCATCCCCACCGGCTGAACCCTCTGACATTTCCGAGACTGCCCCTATCTCCTGGAAACAAATTGTCGGACGTCCTCGAGAATGGTGCGACCCTGGTATGGCCTATCTTGTCTTTTCACATACCCTCTGGCCTCATTCTCCGTCCACTCGCTCAAACCCTTCTTGCCATTTCTCTCCCACATCGCAGGGCCAAAGCTTCTGTGCGCGAAATAAGCCTCAGCCGAAACGACGCCGTCTCCGCTGCCATGGATTACGTGAATAGGGAGGCGCTCGTAGTGGCCGATGCTGGTGCCCTCCAACTCGTCGAACCGGGCGAGTCCGCGGGTTGAGACAGAGTAGAGCTCGCCCTTGATCCGGTGGCCCGACCCGGGAAGGTTGATAAGGTAGGGGATTCCGTGGGGTCCGCAAACGAGAGGGTAGGAGAATTGGGTGATGCAGGGGCCTAGTGACACGGCGTCGTTTCGGTCGATGAGGTCCTGGGTTAGTTTGTGGTTGTGGAAGCCTTGTTTGAGTGTGCCGTAACTGAAGATTAGCTGGGGTTTGGATTCGTCTGTCAGACTCTCAGCCGCCATCGCCATATTGGTCTGCCGAGTCAGAGAGAAAACAAAAGCTGCAAAGTTTAATCCGTTTATGGGGAAGATATTAGATAAGCCCTTTCTTCCATTTGTTTATATATTAGAAACTCTTTAACTATGCCCGTAAATTGGGCTAGCCTACATGGGCTGGGCCAAGCCAACGTAGTTCAAGAGCCTCTCGGTCCAATTATGATGGCGTTTTCTAAGGTGTGGACCGCATTATGCGGACCGAATATTGCCTGTTGGATCAAATATTGGATGGTTGAAAAACAATCCATCAAAATGAGGTTAGGATGAAATCGACGTCACTAATAAAAAGGGTACACGACATCAATTCAAAATTTGTTGAATTTAAACTCTCCCCCTGACATCAAAAGTAACGTTCTTAAATTTGTCTTCTCCTCCCCAAACTCTCCATCAGTGGTAGTTGTGCCGTGCTTGTCTTCTCCAGCCTCACTGCATTTCCAGACATCATTTAAGAAAATCAGGGGAATTTGGTTCAAAGGTGTGCAGTCGGTTCCACAGAAAGAACGTGCGTTCAAGGGTATGCAGTCGGTTCCACCAAAAGCACATGTTTTTCGCTTCATTCGAGTTGGGTTCAGAGTCATTGCATGATAACCGCCGTTGTATTTGTTCCCGCTTCGTCAATTTCAGATTTGGTGAATTTTGAAGATGGAACCCTATAATTTAATTTTGTTATTTTTGTTAATTATGATAAATAAAGTTAGTTGTAAGGTTAATTATGCATGTTTGTTGATATAATTAATTGATATTGGTGGATATATGAGAAATTTTCGTGAAATTTGGGTGCGTTGTGTAATTATGAAGCGACGTTAACGGGTTGTATAAATGTTAGGTTGTTAACTGTTGTTTGGTAAAGTTGTTATTTTGAGTTGGAATTTATTTTTGTATATAGAATATTGTTAGTTTTATGATTTGAGTTGATATTGCTTAAGTAATGATGCCCTGTTCACAGTAGATGGATATCTATACAATTTTGTTGACAGGTTGTTGTAAGGTTATATATTGTTGAATTTGTTTGTATTTGTATTGTTATGTGTACATGATTTGGCAATGTATGGTATTCAACTAGCAACCAAAGAAGAAGATTCCTATAGGGGAAGGGTTAACAACCTATCCCAAGCCCCCCTTGTGCTAAAATTGACAAGGGAGAAGTTTAATGAGGCCCAACTTGGTGCCTTTACGCCCCCTGCTTTGGCCACCTTGAGCGTGTGGATGAATTGGCCTTCAGTGGGGAATTGGTCTAGGAGTTGTCGCTCCGTAGATTGGCAAATCAAGAGGTTAAAAACCTAAAGGGTCTGACCTATTTAATAGGTTGTGAATTGACCTGGTTCACAAAGAAGGACTTATGTCTCATTACCGAGTTATGATGTGACAAACCCTTTGACGTAGAGGTTGAGCCAGAAAGGATTAGGTTGCTAACAAAGTATTTTCATGGGAAATTAGGGTTGGTATGTGAAAGTAGTAAGGGGAGGAAAGAAAAGTGCATAGGTAATTAATGCCAAGCCTACCCCCAAGAAAGTCACAAAAAACATATATGTGACTTGCGGGGAGCTTGAAAGTGTTGGAAATGTGCCCTAAACCAAATCATATGATGATACATTATGGATATTATGTTAAACTAAACTAGTTTAAAGGGAAAAGATTATTATTTAAAGCCATCTCATATAAACAAAGATTATTGATTAAAGCCTTCTCATATAAATGTTATACACTTAAATAATAAGTCCAAGGAATATGTAATTAGGAGAATGTGATCTAAAGAAGTTAGATTCATGAGACATTCTCTTTCCTACATATATCCTAAACATTCTTGATCACATGATTGCCAATTGGGCATCAATGATTCCTTAAGATCAGTACATGCTATGTTTTTCTCTCAAAGAGTGACTGGTCTCGAGTCATTTATGTGACTAACACCAAGACAAGTACGTGGTGCTTAATAGAGAATAAGTCCAATGAACACGATAAACGAGGAGTTCTCATACTCATGTCACATTAGAACTCATGGTTAGGATAATGCAAAGTAGTCATTTGACCTGAGGCATCATAGTTGTTTTGTGATTAGGTCATTGATCTTTAACTATGTTAATGACACTCAATCAGAGGGTGTAAACGACATAGTTGGGGTTAAGCCATTTAACCATAGAGGCAAGTGAATGCGCAACTAAAGATCTCTAACCTTTAAACCGTTGAGGGAGAATACTCTATGATATGATTAAGAATCTTTGGCCAAAGTATGAATGAGATTTAGGAAGCTATTGTAAATCACATTCAAGGTAATCATATAAGGAAGAGAATCACATTGGATAGTAGACTTGAGTAAACTATCAAACAAAACAATGTGACCAAAAGTATTATTTTAGAGAAAGATCGTATTGCATTTGTTATCCCAAACTAAATAGGTTCTCCAACCTCTTTTGATTAGCTAGGGTAGCCATGACATACTACTATGTGTCACTCATGACTTGTGGAAGCCCTAAAGGTGTATAATCACTAAAGGGAGAATTGAAAGTAAGTCTCAATTCACAATCAATTTGGAATGAGTTCTAATCGCCAAATGCCTCCCTAAAAGAAACCTAATGGATCACACACCGTGTAGGGTAATGATTGAAGAAAGTAACGAAGATGAGTATGGACAATTAAATAGTTTAATTGCATAAAGCAAGGATTAATTAAAATGTTAATTAATCAACACCAAAGGTTCGTATTAGGCTTTATGTCAGTTTCAAGTTTCGAGCCCAAAATGAGTTTTGGTCCATAAGACCCATTGAGTTTAAGTTGTATGAAAATCAAAACCAAAAGGAATTCAACCCAAAAATGAAAGCCAAAACCAGCCTGGAGGAAGGGAGTGATGGCTCACTTAATAAAAGTTTGCAACTCACTTAGAATGAGGTATAAAGGCAACTTTATAGTTCCATCCTTCGTTAGGGTTTCTAGAGCCTAAAGAGAAAAAACATTTCTCTCTCTTTTTCTTCATTAGGCCGGCCACCATGGGAAAGCTATGCTACATTTTGATCTTCCAAGGTCGTTCATCTTCTTCCTTCACCATCCTTGGTGTCAGAACTTAGAGGTCTCTAACTTTGTAGACTTTTGGAGAATCATTCAAGCATCCACATCCAAGAATCCAAGGAGACTACAAGATGAAGATAAAGGTCATGGAGTCCTAACTCAATGAAAGGAATGAAGCCCTCTCATGGGTGATTAGTCTTTGCTCATGCACAGAGGAACTCTAAAAGCATAAACAAATCTCAACCCTCTTTGTGTTTAGAGTTGAGTCTTGGTTCACCACCACTACTAGGCTTTGAATTTTACGGTTTAAGTTTTGTTTTAAAGTGCATAGAAGTTTGCTTCTGCCATTTAATCGTTAAATACATGCATTATGTTGCTTAATGAACTTGGTATTTCAAATATTTTCCTTCAAGTGGTATCAAGAGCCTAAGTTTAGTAGTTGGTGAACCCTTTTGGGTTTTCTTGTTCGTAGTCTAGGCTTTCACCCACCAACTTACAAAAGTAAACAACAACGATGAAGACAATACTAGGAAATTGAAGTAGCGAAAGCATGAGGATCATCAACCAACGACGTTGGCCATGGTCGGCGAAGATACCATGTCAACTATGAAGAAATCAAGAACTTGAATGAAGAGTAGCAGAGAAGCTAAAGACGAGAGAGAAAGTGGAGAGAGTTCAATAACTCTTTCATTCATCACAATGTAATAATTGTTGGATATTTATCAAGAATGAATGACAAATTTATATAGAAATAAATTCGAATATATATGCTAATAAAATATAAATGCAACTTAAATATTTTGACAGAGTATGAACAAAATGAAATTAATATTAAATAGGTAAGAACAGTGATCGAGGCTTGCGTACCGCAATATTCTTGAACTAGAATTTCGTCCCTATTTCGTGCATGTAATTCGATGGATGTGTCAAGATTCCAACACTGGAAAACTAGACTTTTGACAAATATCTTTGTGGTTCTCTCAGTATGCTTTGAATGGAAAGATAGATGATTTTCAGTTGTTTGAATGATATGTAGATGCATGTATTTATAGTAGTCATATGCCTATTCGCAACATACATGTTTTTGGGAGGCGACTTTTCAACGCAAAGGGTGTGTGGCTTCATCTTTTCCTCAAACTTTTTCATACGTTCTCAAATGCTCTTAGATTTCATCTGAAAGGATGGGTCTGATGAAAATAAAAAATTAACTAAATCCGAAATTATATATATATATATATATTACTTATAACACCCAAAACCCAAGGTTCAACCCCAAATTTGCTCCCAATGGTCAATCTTTCCAATCATTTTGTATGATGGACAAGATGTTATAAAGTGTGAAACTTCTCAACTTGACCAATGTGGGACAAATGAGATTGAAGAAAATTTTCTCTCATAAAATTCCAACTCAAAAAATTTCAACAATAATTATATCACAATTGGTATTTATAGCTTATACCAATAGATACACGAGAAATTTTTTCAAGTACCTGGAACATGAAATGACGTGAAGTTCCCAGCGAATAGAACTATAACACCAGGCTATTTCAATTTAAAAGTAAAAAAAATTGCCACGTTGTCGTTTAAGTGAAGTTTTGTTAAATAACCAGAATTTTGGTCAACTGGATTCTGAATTTATCCCTATCTGATTCCAAATTTATCCATTCCACGCCAAACACCCACAACACCAGCGACTGCCCACCTCTATCGCCGCCCTGTGACTTTGCCGACGATGCCCAATCCCTTCTCTCTTCTGCCTTTTCTTTCTCCTCTTCCATCTTTTCTCTCCCATTCTTTGAAATGTAACCCAAGAGTAGTCGGCCGCACCCTCAGATCTGCTGTCCCCGGCCTCCGATTTAAGGGCTTGTGAGGTCAGCTGAATCCCGATTAGTTAGTCATGTTTAAGGGCTTGTAAGCCAATCATTGTTTTTCTTATTTTATTTTGATTTTGTTAATATTTAATTGATCTACAAAATGATTAAGCATGATTAAAATTGTAAAGATGAGATGGATGGTTTCACGGGAGGAATGGTGGAAATGGTAGTC